TACATATCCACTTGAGTACTTTCAAATTTACAAAATTTTTTGTCAGCGGTATTCTCGAGACTTTATGAATATCATCACCGCCATGATCGTCATCACAATCGTTTAAAGTTAACACCATCATCATCAATATCTTCATCACACTCACTCACTTCCTCACTCACTCTTTCCTTCATTTATTCGTTCATTCATTCACTCATTCATTCATTTTCAGATGAGTAGATGATGAATAATTGAATCACTTATTCATGCGGTTGGTTCTTCATATTTTTCATTTATACCATTCATTAATTAATTCGCCTGAAGTTCTTTTCTTGTATTTGTTCATTCATTCATTCACTCATTCATCCAGTCACTCATTCATTCATCCAGTCATTCATTCATTCACTCACTCATTCATTCATTCATTTATTCATTCCTACATGCATTCATTGATTAGTTCTTTCATTCAATCAGAAAAAATTATCGACTGACAATCAGCCAGCCAAAAAAAAATGTTATTTCTCCGTTCGTGTGTTGTGGCAGTCGTTTTCATCAAACAGTTAAGTGCGTTCTAGTTCTTTACATACATTCTACTGCCTCTGTGTGATGTTTTGCATTGTTCATGTGTGTGCGAGTGTGCGTGCGTGCGTGTGTGCGTACAGGTTGTGTTCTTGTCTGGGTGCACGTGCACTGTGTAGGTACGTGTGTACTTACCTAAGTACTTACACTACACACACACACACACACACACACACACCTACATACGTGTGTCCATACAACATGTAGACAACCACATACACACATTAATTATTTAGTAGTAATACTCAAGATGAAAAAAAAATCAAAAGTATCACACACAGACAAACTCAAACACACACACGTACACTCACACACACATACAGGCAAACACACACACACACTCACACAGAATCACATCTCTATAAGACCAAATAAACACACAACTGCACCAATCTGGTCTTAATGTACATAACTTAACCAACGTACACTTGGCCATCGCCTTTCTATGTAAAACAAACCCGTAATTGGTTAAAACACAACACATAGTACCCGGATCTATTCGAAATATACCCACATACATCTGATACAACAGTAGCAAAGTCATCTGCGGTTAAATGAATGAGGCATATAAAAGCCATGTCCCTTCATATTAGCGAGCTATTCAAACTACACAACCAGGTATTCTCAAAAAAAGACTCACATACTAATCAAAATACACCAAAAATGCAATCAGCATTTTGGGTGTATTTTGATTAGTTGGAGTATTAGTTTGATCATCAACAGACACTTCTAATACTCCATTCGTTCAAAGAGAAAGTACAATACCTACAAACTAACACACTGAAACCATCTATAAGGCAGAAACTAGAAAGTACACAAAACCCCCCACACAAATACAACCAAGAACACAAGAAATAGGCTTGCTAGGTATTCGCGAAATACCTACTCACATACGTGCATATCAAAAGGAGATACCTACATATGATATGTACGTATGTATCCAAAGAAGGTACCTACATAGGATATCAAGAGAGACAACAACAAGGATACCCACAGATACTCTAAAGATATCCACGAGTACACACAAGCATTCAAAATGCACATAACACAGCCACAAAAACACATACACAACACACACACACACAAACACATACAAACACAACACACATACACACAATTATCCTATACATAAGATAATTTGGTGTTTAGCTCAAGGCGTTAGCCAAGGTTCAGAGTGATTTGGTAGAAAAAAGATAGTCTTTATAGACGTATACTATTTGAATTTATTTATTTAAAAAAATTCCTTCGTTTTATTTCCATTAACATTAAACAAATTAAATAAAATAATTATTAATTAAAATTTAGATTAATTCAATTAAATAATTATTAAATTAAGCGTACAAAAGAAATAAAAATGGCGAATAACATGAAGCAAACGGAGAACGTCTGTACGCATATGAGGGACCAGACAACACATTTTTAAGATCAGAGTTTCCAGACTTCAAAAAAATAAAGTTCATTTTCATGTATATACATAAATATATGCGTGTGTGTCTGTACCTTATTTACGCCTAATAAATCAAAAAAAAATGCATCGACTCGACTAGACAACTTCTAACAATTAATTAATCACACGGAAATATATATATATGTGTGTGTGTGTGCGTGTGTGTGTGTACGCGTGTGTTTGTTTGTGTGCTAAAAAAGTAAAGTTAAATTACAATTCTTTAAATAAGTTAAATAGATGGAATAGATAATGGTGCAATAAGTTAATAAAAAAATGGTTTCGTTATATTTCCATCTCGTCTCGTTTAAGAACATTTAAAACTTAGAGATTGATATACAAAAAGTACTAATCAATCAATCAATCAATCAATCAATCAATCAATCAATCAATCAATCAATCAATCAATCAATCAATCAATCAATCAATCAATCAATCAGTCAGCCAGTCAGTCAATCAATAAATCAATATTATACATTTATAAGTAACTCTAATGAGTTTTGCTATGAAAAGTGTGTGTGTATGTGTGTTTGCATGTATGTGTGTGTGGACATTAAATAACTAGACAAAAATGATTGAGGTATGGATAAGACTTGCTTGAATGATAATTTTGTATCCAACATTTCCCCCGTCTTAATAGAATAAAAATACCTTATGTATGAGTTTTGTGTCAGAAGTATGGGCCAAAAATAGAACTATAGTTATTAGAATAAACAAAAATTATTAAATAACCAAAAAATGATGATAATGATGATGATTTATATAGCGCTGTATAACAATATGAGGATTTATATAGGGCTACACAGATCGAAGTCGATCAAATTGGTTGAAATGTGGGATGTGGGCGATGTTATACATTTAGACCTAACATTTCCACACCTAATTTTAATCTTTTTTTGTTTTTTTTTTTTTTATGGGCCCAGAAAAATTTGAAAAACTAAAAAACGGATCTCGAGAGTACGAGGCATTAAATCGTTATATATCTGTATGAATGGTTTAAATGAACACAGTTGCATGAAGGACGTCTCGTATTTGTGAGTGTGTGTCTGTGTATTTGTGCGTGTGTGTCTGGGTATTTATGCGTGTGTGTGTGTGTCTGGGTATTTGTGTGTGTTTGATTATCTATTTGATTAGATTGACTTTGGTTTTATTTCAATCATTGATTCGTTCGTTCGTTCGTTCATTCAGTGATTCATTCAATCATTACAAAATCATAAAAATTCTACTATTAGTATTCTTATGATGATGATGACTATGATGATGACGATGATTAATATTATTATTG